CGATTGTTTTGGGCTTTTTTCTTACTCCAAGGAACTTTCAGCCCCCACCCCACCCTCTTTTCTTTCTTTCGTCAATCACCAGTTATCTGTGCTGGTGTGACAGCTGTTTGGGGAGAGGACTTTACGGAGAGATTTCTACATTCCCGTTTTTATTTTTTTAAAACTATATATTTTATTGATTTCAGAGAGGAAGGTAGTAGGAGAGAGAGATAGAAACATCAATGATGAGAGAGAATCACTGCTCGGCTGTCTCCTGTATGCCCACACTGGGGATGGAGCCCACCACCGCGCATATGCCCTTACTGGGGGTCTAACCGTGACCTCCTGGTTTATAGGTCCACGCTCACCACTGAGCTGTGCCAGCCGGGCTCTACATTCCCTTTTAAACAGAACCCTGTCGCGCCCCGGAGCAGGGGTAATGTCAGTGCTTCTCAGATTGAGATCTGGGGAAACCTGCATCAGAATGCCTTGGGATGCTAGTAAACTCCACCCCAGAGCCACGGAGTCAGTCTTTTTCTGGGTAAGAACCTCGAATCTGCAAATTTAACAAGCAAATCAGACAATTTTTGAACACACTAGACAAAGTTTAAGAGCTATGGGTAGGTTCTTGAATTTTGGCAGTTTTGATATGTAGAGAATTTACCATATAAACATTTAATATAGGGCTGTCTTGGTTGAGTTGGTTAACCTCCTTAAAAATGATACTTAAAGACACATGTTTTAAAGCACTTTTCCAAGTCTGGACACAAATGTGAGGCATTTTAATGGTAAAGTATTTTGCAGACAGCTGTCTGAACACACCTGGAGAGAAAGTGATGTCCCATTTAGCAAATGGGATGATAAAAGCAGTGTTAGGTAAATTAAACCAGAGAGGGCTACAATTGTAGGTCACAAAGTATTGTAGGTTTATAACATACTGATTACTAGATCATAACAAATAGGTTTAATTTTCAGTTAATTATTGGAACCTTGATCTACGTACCTGCAAACTATAAATAGGATAAGTAATAAAAGTCTCACCACTTGAATGTTTATATGTAGATTTTTTTTTAAATAGCAAATTTTTGACAATTTTTATAGGCTTTGCTAATTAATTAACTTTGCTGGAAGAGTTTTATCTTGAAACTTCTGAAGTGCCTGCTCAAAGTAAGTTATATGAATTAATATGTTTCATTTTTCTTAGATTACAAATCCACTGCAGCAGGTACTTGTGGGTACTTACAAAGGCCCGCACAATGCTCTGGGGTTCCAGAGAATGGGCAGATCCAGCCCTCCTGGAGGAGTGGAGTCTCGCCGCTAGGATTATGTGAGATGACCTATGACATAGAGCAAAGCAGTGCAAATTAAGTGCCACCAGTGTCTGGAGGTTTTTGTGGTTTTTAGGAGGTTGGGTATAGGCAATGAGGTAGATGAGAAGATAAGCAAAAGCTGAGGCAGAATGAGGTGGTTCCTAAAAAGTGGTTAGAATTGTGATGGGCAGACATGGGATTTGAGGAAACAGCAAGAGGCAAAAAGCTGGAAAATACATTTAGGGAAACTTTTTAAAAAATATATTTTTTATTGATTTCAGAGAGGAAGGGAAAGGGAGAGACAGAAACATAAGTGGATGAGAGAAAATCATCGATCTGCTGCCTCCCGCATGCCCTCCACTGGGGATCTAGCCTGAAACCTGGCCATGTGCCCCTGACCTGGAATCGAACTGTGACCTCCTGGTTCATAGGTCAATGCTCAACTACCGAGCCACACCCCACATTGGCTGGGCTAGAGAATTTTTTATTCATATACATCTTTGTGTGAGACCTGTATGTATGTGAGTGATTAGACAGACATATGAGAGTGCTGGGCAAGGTGGAGAAAAAAATGAGACTAGAAAAATAGCTGGGGCCATATTGTATAGATCTAGCTTCACACTAGCAGTACAATAGGAAGTGTGTTAAAAGTCCGGAATCAGACACCTCTCAGACCCACTGAGGAAGTATCTGTGTTTTAACAAGATTACAGTGTGCTTTGCATGCACATTACAGTTGGATAAGTGATGTGTGAAGTATCTCAAGTGCCAGTCCTGATTAAAGTTTGTGCTTAAGAAATATTTCTCCAGCAATACCATGTACTGAAAGCTTGAGGTGAGGATACCACAAGGACAGTGTTGTAACAATTCAGAGGAGAGGTTCGCTGTTAAGTGGATGTAGAACAGATGTTTGAGGTAGAATCTTGGTTCCTAGCAAATGAATCAGTTCTACCTATCTTGGTACTCACATCCGAAGACTTGGACTGGGTGGCCAGAAAGTGAGAGGATTTTAGGGGAGCAGGGAAGAAAAAAGAAGGGGTTTGGTGATGGACATGGTGACTTGTAGGTCCAGGCAGGACTCTAGAGACTCTAGAGCAGGGGTGGGCAAACTTTTTGACTGGAGGGCCACA